GCCTCGAAGGCGATGCCCGCGCACACGCAGCGCCGGCTGGCGGCGCTGCACTCGGTGAGGCCCTGGCACTGCGCCTGGTGCTCGCACGCCTCGCCCAGCTGCGCCGCCGCCAGGCAGCGGCCGCCGGCCGACACGCGGCCCCGCCGGCACTCGCACGTGCGCGCGGGCCGCCGGCACACGGCGTGCGCCACGTCGCCGCACTGCGCGTCCTCCTCGCACACGTCGCCCAGCTGCTCCGCCACTGCCGCACACAGCCACACGTCAGCTCTCCGCGCTCCCAACAATGGGCCGGGCATCAACTGAGGGGCCCAGGGCGTCTGAACTCTCCATCAAAACAGGGGACAAAGCTCGAGGGTGCTACTCTAGGAAGCGCTAATGTCGCTAGGCACAGCTGCAGGTTAGGCTCGCCAACTTCCGCACATAAAAATTTGATAATTTGTGAGAAAAATGAAAAGTGTCTTTGAAAAGTTCAATTATTCATAATATACACATATAAGAAACCCCTGAAGAAAGCGCGAACATCGGCGCTATCTTTTGTATCATAATAGGGCCTCCTTGCCGCGAACTCACGCAGCAGCCACGCACGTTTTAAGTACTGTTGGCAGCAGTTCGTATTTTAGTTCCTTGTAAGAAGGTGATGCAGCAGAGCGCGCCACTGTAATGGTTTCCACCACGTTATATGGGAGTTATAAGGCCCTGGCAGAGCCTCTGTCCGGGAGGTTCGAGTTCCGATGGCGGCAGGATTTTCGACACTAACTTCCCAGCTAAGTCGAATTCATCCGCCTTCTGAAGGAGAATTCTAACGGCCGGCTGCTCTGATCGGTAGTGTTCCATGGTTTCTCTGATTACCACCAGGCGAATGCCGGAGAACTACCCTAATAAACGGGCCTCGGATCGCACGCAAGACCACACGCGATCTTTCCTTCCTATGCCTTATCCTAACCTCACTCCTTACTTACACACCTCACATGCCGGGTCACAGGCCGGGAACTTAGGGCTTGTCCCTGCTGGGGTGGTACCCCGGTGGTGGGAGGTACTTGGTTGGGAAAGCCCCGCTAATCGACTGGTAGGTCAGCGCCGGAACTCACCATCCAGCGGGAGAAGATCGCCGCCACCTCCCGAGGGGAAAACATGGACTTCACTTACGGGACTCGGGTGTCTTAACATGCACTACACTTACGGATCTCATCTGTTGTCGCACTCTGAACAAACCAATTCGAAGAATGGACTGCCTCGACCGGGTATCAACCCGCATGTCCCGGAAGTTGCTCTAACTACGAGCTACCGAGTCTTACTTTTTGTAATGCGTTATCTTCCGTTTTATACAAAATCCTATTTTATTTTTAGGGATTTAAAACTTTAACTACTGATGTTTTGGAAGAAGATCAAAATACAATTACTGAATTGGAACAAAAGTAACTTGAGAAACCGTCAACGAAAAATCTCGTCAATAAGATTCACAGATCATTTTTAAATCTCCTCTGATTTACAGGAGTCTAGAATTACTGCGAGTCAAGAATTTCTTCAATTCTCTAGTGACACGATTATGAAACCGTTAATTTTATATCGATTGAGTAAACGTTTTATTCGCACGATCGATTTTTTTTTGCCGAGAGCAAAAAGTCGCAAAAAATTGAGATTGTACAAGAAATCTTTTTTCTAAAGCTAAACAAATAAAAGTTTTTCTACGTCCGAAATAAATGCTCATATTATGAATCATATTTCATTCCTCGTCATCACGCTACAAGACACATTCATTATTCAGATGTCTCAGAAAAAATGTAACAAACTTCAAGAACATGTTGGGGAGACAATTACCACATTTTCCCAATGTCATGGAAAATTTTATGTAACGAAGTTACACATGTAGTATTTATACCTAATTGTTTAGCATCTTCACGTGTACTGGCGTTCAATAGGTAAACGTATATTTCCTAAAACATCCCACGTCATGTGTAAAAGCAAAAAGTGATCATCTTAAATCTCTGAACACATCCTAGAAAATTTACATTTTTTCAGAAACACATTTATCATGGTTTCACCGAAAGAAGGTACCATGTTTGTGAATGATTGCAAACCATGCTACAGACTAGAAAAAGGTACATCAGGAAGAACTTCTTTATGCCATAATTAATTTCAATTCTTTAACTGCACCGTGCGAACAATAACTTCTATTTAAAATGAAACCGTAAGTGTAGAAGCGCAGAGGCATCGCAGGTAATAAGTGAGGATATGTATTAAGCACAGAAAGTGAGATAATTATAAACGTTGTCATTACCTACAACAGTAGTTGGCATTGCAACTATTGTTGACAATGACAACGTTTATAATTATTTCATGAAAAATGCCAACGATAACGCACCACAACACCTATACAGAAAGTGAGGCCCGGCTACGAGGATGGGAATGAGGACGGACAGTGGGCGAGAGTGAAGGAGATGGTAGGGTCCACTTGGAATATAATTATAATAAATCAATTCCACAGCAAACCGGGAACATTTGCTAGTATCATTTTCTGTATAAGCTGGAATAAATGCAGGTAGCTGTGTTCGACAAAGAAACAACGGTGCCTCGTTGGTATTTGAGTGTGTCGCGAGATTACAGCGCAAGCGGCGGCGGTGCAGGTGCGCGGCCGGTGCACTGTGGCTTCCACCGGAGGCCGCGCATCCTCCTGTCGCTTTGCGCGACGGACCGCAACTTCCGGTGCGCAGCCAGGCGCGCACATCCGGTGGGGGACTGGGGAGGGAGGTGCAGTGCGGGGAGCTGCACAAAGGGAGGACGAGGTGGAGTTGAGTGAAATGGGTGGGAGCGGAGCGGGGTGATGCCGAATGGGGCGGAATGGGGCGGAATGGGGCAGGGCAAAGCAGAGTAGAGCGGAATGGGGCGGGGCAGAATGAGGCGGAATGGGGCAGGTCGGTGCGCGGCGGAGTGGAATGAGGCGGAATGGTCTAGGGCAGAAGGGG